CCCCGTTATAACTACTGAGTGTCGCTTAAATGTGTTTTATTGGTGTGAGCGTTACTAGTTTGTCGACATAGACCCAAACTACTAATAGTTCCATGGATCGATCCAGTATACACACATTTTTTTTGGTTTGACACAGCAATATCGATATTAAGTCATTGTATCTAAACACCACAATTATCGAAGCGATTCAAGTTGGCGAAAAACGCATGACTCGTCTATGATAATCGCTGAGAACAAACAAAGTATTTGCTTCAACGCGAGATTTCGCAGTGAACGGAAAATCACCTATCGTCAAATAATATTGCTAAAAAATATAGAGGTAGTATATTTGTGCACAAGTTCACTGTGGCTGGTCATTTTTTTCAAGTTCACGATAGGGTGCTGATCTTTTAGAAGCCAGACTCTCGTACTGACCGATCGATTAATCTGGTCAATCTGAATTGTTAATTAATTACGTTTATTAATTATGTAAACACGTGCACGTGTATGTGCCATCAGTCTCTGTGTCATTTCACTGCAATGTCTTGCAATGCTCCTTTATTTTTAACAACCCATTTATACATACAAAATCGGACATTAACAAATTGGTGCTAATCCTGCAAGTGTAAGAAAGTGGTCTGCGAGCAAAAAAAAAACATTAATACGGGACCGAAGTACGCCACCAACGATTGTTTAGCACCACCTGAATGCAATTGAGTGGGTGTGTTCAGACGTAATTTATTTTCAGTATCCAGTTACTTTTACAACTGAATTGCTGAGTGCACAAGGTGAATATTAATGATTAAGAACAGCGGGGGGGGGGGCAAGTGAATCACTGGTTCATTGTACAACGGATGTGTCGATATCCGGCCTTGGTATTCATTCAGCGACATGCCACATTCCATCGTTGTATCTCACCTTGGACCGGTGTGAGTGACTAACATATGGGGTATTCATCGCATTCTAGCGTCTCGCAGATTTGCGGAGGCCGTAGACTCGTTCGTAAGAGTTACTGTTAGTCACGACACATTATATACGAACGCCGACATATCCGGAGTTGTAGACCGTAGACACGGACCCGGATATCTAGAAATGGAGTAGAACCCGGAAAAAAACATCATACATAACCGCTTGTGTATATTATTGCACTCATGTGAGTGTGTATCGTATGTGCGCGTGTTTCAAACTTAAACTTCAAATTCAAATATACTAGTATACTGATTTCATCGAGCAACCGTAAAGGAACTGAGATAACGGTGATAGATATCAATTGGATTTCTGCCAGTTCGATTATACAACGTATCCAAGACGACTACGCATATCTGGACAGAGAATGAATTGATCAAATCTACTCGGTGCAACCAAATTCCGAATATCGCACTCTATAATAGTGTCCAAATTACCTAATCTTCCCGAGCGTACCACCTCTCCCGGTCATCATGATTTATCTCCAGTCAGTATTTGCGCCCTCTATCGCTTTCGTTCAGGTGCGCATATATGGGCATACGTGTACTTTCATTGAATTCGCCTAGAGAAGAGCAAGCTGTTTTTTGTTTTTGTTTTAATTTTGAGGAATATATAACTCCAGTTATATCTATATACATCGTGTTTGATGTAATAACTGTTTAGGCAGCGTCTATGTTGAGATTCGGTGGCATAGACCATATGAAAGGGTCTATGCTATGGTTTAGGCATACCGCTTAGAAAACATGGTCTACTAGTATGTCCTATGTACAGATAAAGGTTTCTTTGTTTCGATTCCTTATGGAGGGGATGGGGTCATACAGCTTAGATAAAGAACACCAATCTCGTTGCTTGTATTTCAATGAAGACCTGTCTGGGATCGAAAACGCCGGTGAGTTAAATTCGTCATGAGATTGGTTACGTGAACATAAAATTATACCGTCCGTCGTCGGCCGGAGGTCACTCAAGGAAGTGTCACGCGTGTAAACAAATTTATCGGACCCGGGTGTAATGATGTTAGGCGATGAATCACACATATTAGATTCAACACAAACTTGAAGCATATTTCTTTAATAGAGTGAGCATTATTGGTGAAATGCCAGATGGTGTAATAATTAAGAATTCCGCATGAGATCACGTGATATACACAGTATAGCTTATAATTGATGGGAATATCACACAGGTAGAAGAATACGCAGTATTCAATTTGTGGCTGACCGCGGCTGTCAGAATCCCATCCATCACAAGTGAACAGACAGCCAGCTTTCGCAAATTCAGCTGCGAAAGCTGGCTGTGCATGGTAACAACGAACAGATCGTGCCGACTCGGATCCGCACCATACTCAGAGGGGGGGGGGGGGTGCGAGACCACCTGGATCTCGTATTCACGCCCAACTTGCGGCACTAAATAACAGTTGTTTCAAATACTTAAAGGGCGGCAGTCGTCACGCCGCGTTCTGTTCGATATGGGACTCATAGCGACGTATACAACGCATGTAAAATACATTGTTTATTTACATTAAATTTGAACACGCGCTACGCGACCACTACCGCGCTTTAAACATGTATGTGAATGTGAATCCGTGGTATGATAGCAACGACGCCCACACCATGATGATCTGGCAGCTGCGGGTGTTGCAACGTGACCATAAATTGTGTGTGTGAAGGGGAGGGGTATACTGATATACTGAAAAAATGATCCGGTCCGTCGCCTTTTAGTCGACGGATCGACAAAACTAATCGTACCCTGAGGAGGTTTTATCAAAACTCGTGAACCTATCATGTCGCTCTCATGTACACGCGGTGTACAGCTGCAAGCTTCCTGGACGGTTCTCGTTTTCACCTCTTCGTGATGCCAAAGTTAACTAGTTGGTTCGATTTATGTATGAACATCAGGTGGATTTATAACGTAAAAGGGGTCTAACTAGCTCAATATTTCACTATAAGTAATATATTTTACTTCTGCCAAATTGGAATTGAGTTTAATCAAAATTTAATCAAACTAAATTAAAATGCAACTCAATATAGGATTGCGTTTATTTCAACTCAATATAGAAGAAATAATACCATAGAAATTTGATTTAAAAAAAAATTGCGTAGCTTAGCGTTAAGCATAGGTGCAAGGTATGGTACATGTTATTATATCCTACATCTTTCCATAACACTAATATACGCAAACTTAAATTAAATAATAATAAAGAGAAAATCGTGGTTTAGTGGTGGTCACGTGCTCACTGAATTTGACTCACTCAAATAATGTGTTCGTTTTTTATGTTTTGGACAAATACGTGTTCGGCGCTGAAAGGTAGTCACTACTGAAGCTCGTTGCTGGACACCAGACGCACGCCATCGGCAATCCATTCAATGTACATCGTTGCTGCACACCGGATGTACTCTATCGGCGATTCCATTATTGCATACTGACGTGCACTCTTCGTTAATGTTCGCATTACGTGTCTCTGTTTCCCTGGGTGTGAATTGAAGCGTGTAATTGCCTCCCGGTGAATTTCGTTTGTGCGCGGATTTCCCATAATTTCCTTTCAGGAATGATTTACTCCGAGCAGTTTGTTTGATTATTTTATTCGAGTCTTATTTATTACTTCTTATGTTTTTGTCTTTACTTCGCCGTGAATCGTTTAATACATCAGGTCAGGTCAGGTGGTTTCCCAATCGTATGGTGAAATTTCGGACGAATTACAAGAGTCGTCCATGTGAGAAATGCAGGCGTCCGTATTCGGGTGTCCCCCAACTGTAGGTTGCATGGGTCTGGTGGCGTCGATTGAGGGCGTTTGCTTGTCAACTTGTATGTTGTGCGTGAAATACGTAACCCACAGCAGCCAATCAGAGGACAAAGTGGAAGGCCATCGGACAAAAGACATGCGTGTGCATTGTTCACATTGTTTGGTGGAGTACCAGCTCCTGCTCAATAACTTGCACATTCGCCCGTCACTGAGATCAGCTGAGCGAACTCGCCGCACATGACAATTGGCAAGCGATATGCTCGTGTCTATACCACGAACAAGGCAGTTGTTATACCGGTACGCACAGAGGCGCTACTAGCCGTTGATCTGAGCTGAGATCTCAAGGTGGAAACTGCCATGACGACGCTGATAATCTTGTTGTTTATTACGCTAACTTTCACCACTCCTGCCTCGGTCATTGCGACGTGGTGTATGGACCTTCCTCGGGGATGTCAATGTGGCGCACGAGACGCTGTCACATGTAGAGGCTATTTCACACGTATACCCACCAATCTGCCTTCACAGATACACGAACTGTAAGTACCTATCTCATTTTTTCTTTCTTTTTTAAGTTTTTTTTTTTTCACTTTCACGTTTATTTCAGTAACTGTACAGTGCTGAAAAAGAATCGAATAGGTATGTTTATAAAAACAACAAGTTGTTGTCGAATTGTTTTTAGTCGTGAGTATGACGCGTTTGGCCGAAGTCCGGTCATAACTTAAGTCCACTTGCACTTGCCTGGCGCGAACGAACGTACAACAACCAAAACATTTCCTCCTGTATATGGCACACATACTTTGTTTAAAGATGCTAAAGTTTAAATCGAATTCGATCATTGTGTAGCAAGAACCCAAACTCTAGCTGCGTTGACGAATGAATTGCAGTTGCTCGTTGACACGGACTTAATTCACTAAAATGCAAACAACCAAATAAACATAGATTTCGTACAACAAAGAATGGAAACCCATGGCTTTATATATATTGTCTCCATGGCTGTAGTTTACTAATAGGTGTTAAATGGCCTAGGTAGACATGACAATACAGGACATGCGCACCCGGTTCTCACGACATACCTGCGATTGCTAAGTGCTGCTTTCAGATTCGTCAGCAATCGGTATCGAAATCAACACCGCTGTTTACGCGACATGCAATAGTTGTTTTGCGTTCGTGAACGTCATAAGCGTGGGGCTTGTTCATGATTGCGCAATAAGCAGTCCCAGACATTGACATTAGACGCACGCAAGGCGATTCGTTGTTCTCGTATAAAAAAGACTTAGTAACCGTGTATAAACCCACAAGCCTTGTGGTGACTAATTTGCATAATGATCATATCTAATTTGCATATTATATGAAGAGCAATGCACTTGTCCATATGGGGCTCTCTCTACCGATTGTCAACGCTGCGTTAGCACGGTAAAGCCTCCGTCCTTGAGAGAACACTGCGACACACACATGTCTGCAGGTAGTTTTAATGCAATGGCATATTTAGTAGCTTAGTAGTTTTATTGTTATACTAATTTTCATGTATTTTTTCCTCCATTCTTAGTTACATGTATTCAATGTTTTATTCGCGATTCTGGTGGATTGAACTGTACTTCCGTCTTGCTTTGTACTAAACAATAACATTAGCTTATGTTTAATGTGCTATTTGTGATATTAGTTGTGTGAAGTATTATTTCTGTTCTTGTTTTACAACCATAAAATTACTCTCTGTAGTAGATTTTCGTGTTGAATAAAATTATTATTATTATATTGAACACAATTTTTAAAAATCAGACTAATGGAGAATTGTATTTATTTACATTTTTTCACTAACATGTATGTAACACTCAAGTCGGGGCCTCATATTCTTTATCGTCCGATATAGCCTGGACGGTCTTAATAGCGATTTTAAGGTAATTCTACGAGAGACTAAAACTTGGGCAGCATTGTATGCAACACATTTATAATAATTGTTCCATGTTTAATCTGGGCAATGATTATGAGGAGCCCTTCATTGTGATTCTACGTGCCCGGTTCTCAATTTGCGGTGAGAAATGTACCCTATGTTTCAGTCATAATGATCTTCTCCAAACAAGTTTTCCTGGGAAATATTGTACGCGTTTCCCATCTGCCAGAGGCAAACCAATATGACGTTTCATTCATAGGATAATATTAGAAATTAAGATCGAAGTTCTGTTTTTTTTTCTTTGCTATTTACAATTTTATTATTTTTAAATATGTTTAATTTTATTTCCTTTTTTTGAGTTTTTATTGTTTTTGGTTGTATATTAAAGTGTTGGTAATCTCTAAAAGTATGTGGCGATAGTTAATATAGTATAGCAGAAAGACTATATGTATCAAAAACACACGCCGTACAACTAACAATATACAGTTTCAGATTTCACCCAGATTGAGTAATATTCAAGTAAAGTATTTTATTTTCACGTGGAATTAATTTTTCTGAAGAGACATGAATCAGTGAAATTACCATTTTTCCTATATTTTACATTAAACTTTCATCAACAATCAGCAAGATTGCCAAATTATTATTTCCAGCTAAAATAATGTAATTTACAGTAGTACTACCCATGTCTGGACTTGAACGTGTACGATAACACAAGAAGCGATCGTCTATATTAGGCATTATATGTGTATCCCTGTGTTGTGAATTAGGTGGGGACTAATGCAGGTCGCGTAGCCCTCTCACTCACGGTGAGATCGCGGCGGCCATTTACGGAAAGAGGACGTAATTAAAGTATCACGAGTTGCTAGCGTGGTGCATTTACATGTAAGTGCACATATGGCGATGATTTCTTGTAACGAGAAAGGTTACGAGCCCAAACTTTAAACTGTCACTAGTGTGTGGTTTTTTAATAACACATGCATATCTGTTTTCTTTCAGAATACTGCAGCATAATGAAATCACAGAAATCGGCTCATCGGATTTAGAACAATTACGTCAACTGAAAGTACTGTAAGTGTCTTTTGTATATCACGCAAGTGAGCGAAAAACAACTCTTGTTTACATTAGAATTGGTCTTTTTGTCGCTTAGCTATCTTACTGCCATGTGAACAGCAAGCTATTGTGGCAGTGTGGTCGGGGCATCGTTGTTTTCAACGCCGAGACGTGCGCGAATGAAAAGGTTTTATTCATATGCTTAGTGTAATTTTATACTATTTGATGTGCTCTTAATGCATGATTACTGAGCAAACTTAAAATTGAATGTATAAATAATACCAATTCCTCAGTTAGCTTTTTTTTGGGAAACGCTACCATCGAAGTAAATGACTGAATCGACCCAAAACCGGCTAATAACCATGGTTGTGATTACGTCTTTATACACGAAAGGGTAACCCTATTCCATTCGCTATAAAAGACTTGGGTCACTTGTCACTCCGCCTTCCCAGACAGGCACGCCTTCTGCAGTATTATGGCATCGCGTACAATGATCATGGCGAATGCGATCAAATAACTTATCAGTAATTTCATGAGAAACTATAGCGAAACCACGAAAATGGGATACCCGGCACCCATATTTGAAACACGCGGCATTTGGCTAAAACTGGTACACCATATTTTGCCACCTACCATCAACCGTACATTTCCCACGCTACCGTAGAACGTGTTTTTATTTTTAGACTTGAAATGGTAGTGTTCAACACGCGAGTGGAATTTGAAATTATTTCGCTGCTGGTACTCAGAAGCGTAATGTTTTATCGTCATTCCCAATTACAGCATAGAACGATTTTTCAATTTATTGACCTCTCTTTTAACCCTAATTGTGGTCAGCCCCATGTAGATTTTAAAGTACAATTGGGGTTAACCCTTATAACCATGATGCAACGCGAATAGTACACCTCAATGAATCATGCGTACATGTCGGATGAAGTATTCGAGTCCGTATCTCAAATGATAATGACGGAAATTATATGACTTGATTTCGTATATTTGTCATTGTTTGTCTCAAAGCAAATATGTATACTAGTATCATGAAATATATATTCCCAATAACGGGACGTTGGTTAATTTGCTTGCGCTTTCGTTCACACTGTCTTGATTGGAACATGGAGTTAAAAAATATATGGTTGGAACGTGATACGTGTCAATACAGCGCTATTCAACTAATAATCCAGGAATCACTATCAGATTTCCGGTATCCCAAATAAGCAACATTCCACCTGGCGTTATCAAAAGACGGAGGTGATGTAGACACCGGTAGCTTATACCTTAGACTAGTAATACAATGCATTACTACTAGTCTGAGCTATGAGCTTATACCACAGCATGGACCGAGGTGGGACTACCTCCATAACCACAACAAGTTTCGTTTTATTTTCGAGGAAATAATCCTAGATTAGTTCAGTTTTTACCATGTTTTTCTTTTATTTAATATTTGTTGGCACGATTTGAGTGGCATATACATCGTACTAGTTAGAACGGACAATGCATTAGTAATAACTCCTATAACACCCCAACTATTCTGTGATTGGCTGTAAAGGTCGCATTTCGTTTATTCATAGACGGTGTTCTGTCTATTGTTTATTTTTTTTATCTCGACAGTTATGAAGCATAACAATACAAATGTTATAATTGAACGTTATTGTTCCACGGCAAAGAACGCTACGATCGGGCCAGGTCAATTAAAGGCGTCTGAGCCTTCCACAATAGCTACCGAACATTATAAAGAAATGGCATCATTTATTTATCTCCCATCTGTTATTCTTTCCCGAGTTAATGTCTCTCCGCGAACATACGAGTAGTATGAATTGCTCGCTCGATGTTAATAGAATTTATGATTTGTCTCGTCAGCGCGCGTTAATAATGGACTGCGTGACAAGACACCATCTGTTCCGTTATTCAGTTAGGAAGGAGAAATCAGAAATAGACACCTCATGTAGTTTTTATTCGCATAGAGAATCTACTTTGCGGAACGATGTGTGATTACGGAGAGAGCCGAAGTGGAAATTAACAGGAACGAGTTTATTTATTCCGGTGTCATGTTTGCTCTTAATGGTCTAAAAGTCTTACCCATTAGCATACGTCTTATTACACGCCGTGTATATTTCACGTCTTTCTTGTTTTTAAATTTCACATCGTACAATCCGAACGGCGTTAATTTTTTTACGATAATATCCCCCATAATGCATGGCAACATAACTGTTCCCACGATCATCCAGGCTTGCATGCACTATCCGTAAGTTAGGTGTACGCACACTTAAAAGTTAAAGTGACATACGTCAAAATAAAACTAGAGGCGGCTAACATGGATTCGCGCGCTTTGTAGTTTTATAGAATTACATCTTTTATACGTATACTAGTCGCAGATGTTTTTTTCCAAGTTTGGAACATAATTATTTCGCTAGCTTCACCATCAATCGATTTTGTTTTGTTTATTGTTCATAATGTACACGTGTGTCCAACAAATAGTATTGTACGAAATAAAAATACGCCCGTTTCCGTGACACGCTTCTCTAAATGTAGCGATAAAAAACATATCGCTATATCTGCTGCGGACGTGCACGTGCTGGTTACGCTGTCCTCCCCGCACAAGTTGCTTGTCTTTGGTCAATCGTGATGGTACCTTCTGTTGAAGTAGTTCATGAACTTGAGGTTGCACTGGCGGCGGTACTGGGGGGGGGGGGCAAAAAGAGCGGTCGCCCACCCGAGAAAAATGTTTGGAGGCGTCGCCTTTTGAAAACTCTTTGTGTCAGCAACATTTGGCCCTCAAAATGCAGGAAAAAGAGTTTTAGAGGGTCTAGAGTTCAGATCTCACCCCTCATGCAACATTTTGTGCCGCCGCCTGTGGTTTAAATACACGTGCACTGTGTATGGCTAATGGTGTCCAGGCCGGTGTTATCATCATCAGTTCTTGTTTCAGCCAGTAAAATAAAAGTGTCCAACAAAGTATCGGGTTGACATACACTGTAGCCAATGTGAATGTCAAACACTAGCTAGCTAAAAACAATTCCACAGGAGCCTACAAGTGACGAATCTACCCGATGCCACTCAATTAGATAATGTACGGTCTGCTTATCGGGAATCCCATCGCCACCGAGTTAGCCCTAAAGAGAAGCATACAATTAATTGTTCTGCTACAGATATGTTTGTGAATTAGCAGGTGGACACTCATACTATAAAATCGGACATGCGCAGTATCGACTCGAGTACGTTTTAACGTGTGACCGATGAAGGTATTTTAGGCCTTCAATGGAGACACCAAAACTTGCATCGAACAACGACGACAAATTCTCTACACCTCGTCGATTTTTGTAATAGTCGCTAGGCGAACACGTTCACGTGTGTACGTCCTCAGCTAGTACTATGCTCAAAACATAACGCTCCCATAAGGGCAGGCCGCTGGAAAGTACAATCGACACGCGTTTAATCAGCAAGAAGAAACGATCCACCGAACAGTGAGAGCGCGGTAGCTATTGTTGATAGGTTTTGTCACGATCCCTCTATCGGCAGTGCACACAGAACACGCACGCGTGTCCGACAACCCCAGCTTCAGAAAAGTGACTAGAATGGTCCACACGCACACACTAGGGTCTCCATAGTGACGTATATTCTTATGATTACTCAAAAGTTCTCCAAACAAATCATTCACCGTGCACAATGACCACATTTCGTGGGAAACTGAAGCTGTTTTGTTCTCCCGTATTTCCTGTGCGCTCCAATCGATAGCCATATTTGGTGGGATATCGCGTTATGTTGATGACACATCCGAGTTTCACTTTCTCTTGCGTAACTGCATACATATTTGTTATACGTTAAGATTTGATTACGTATACATTCATGAATGGATATGTTTTCCACGTAGTCGGTTTGATTTGCAATTTTTTTTTGCTGTATTACTAAAGTTCGCCCTTTGTCCAGAGTCGTTTTTATTTCGAAAGTACGCTTCTTTCCAAGATATTGCGATTGAACGAACACAAACTTGCTTTGCCTGTCAGTGTGACCCATTGATTGTAACTGTTAACACAATACACGTTTAAATATACGAAATTCACATTTATGAATGCAAATCTTCTAAAATTCATTCGTTATTGAAAACTCCCATAATGCACCTGTGGTGATAATCTTGAGAAGTCTATTCACTTGTACTATGTTTTATTTTTCTTGCAGTGATCTGAGTAACAACCGAATAAACAAGATTGGACAGAATGTGTTCTTAACGCTAGAAAACTTGGAATCACTGTAAGTTAGCATCAAACATGGAATAATATATTTAAAAAAAGGAAAAAGGGCACCATAGTCTTCGTACAGCGCTCTGTAAAATTGTATAAACAATATATTTTATACGAGTTGTATACGTCGCATGAGACTGACATAAAATACGACGTGGTACGACTACTACGACGCTATAAATTATGTTTTTGAATTTAATTTTCTTGCTCAGTGGTTCGTTGAAAATACGTACAGCAGCAGCAGCAGATACTGTAGAACAAATGTAATGCTAGTATCGAATATTCCACGTAGTTACGCGTGGGTCTCTCTAGATTGTTTTCATTTGCCATAGTGAAAAAGTACCTGATTTTAAATTTCGCAATGGTGTCGGACCTCGTACACGGTGTGCTCTGATAATGTAACTACGAGCGTGGTCGCATCGATTCATAAGTATACGCGCCCTGTCGCTGAACGTCAGCCTCAAAGCTGTTAATATCTCTGTGCCTGGGCGGAACAATAGTCCTTTGTACGCTTCAAATGTAAGGTTCTAGGTTTGCTAGCACTGTGGCATTGTGAGAACTGGTACCGGGACAATGAACCGCGGCATAATGTCCAGAGATATTGACACCCACACGAATATAGCAGGGTGGTTCCGTAAAATTCACAAAATCATACCTGTTTACAGTTTTGAACATATAGATTTATCTAAACCATAGTCGCTATGTTTACAAACGCGTGAAACGCGAGATGAAAATGTACATTACTGTGGACAGAAAACTCGGCGCGAACTTTTGGAATGCTTGTAAAACCGTGAAGGTTTTCTTCAAAAGTGCGGTTATTTTTTTACGCATTTCATCGTATGGCAGGAGATTTGTCATTGTGTGAACATAGATTAGGTCGTTTACAAAGGTTCCGTTGTTGTAAACAACGTGGAAAACTAAACGCCGGTTGCCGGTCCAACTTTTAGGGTAGTCTGAGGTCGTCAAACTATTTTGCACATTGCATCAGGTTATGCACGTACAATCATGATAAATTACATCTATACTCTTTTGTGAGATCTCTGACAACTATCTATTCATACAGCACTTGATAAATTGAGCCAGAAGTTTACTTGGATATTTTTATTTTACCTACTAGTACTAGTTTCATGCTCAATAATAGTCTTTCTTTTACAGAAATTTAGAAAGAAATCATATTAATTGGCTGGATAGCAGGGCATTTCGCGGCCTGCAGAGACTACGTCACCTGTGAGTAACATAATAAATTATATTGATGATAGATAATACGTGTAGTAATGACGTCATCCCCATTGAAAAAAAAGGATATACTTCTATCATACGAATTTATAAGTTATGGTGTGACACTCGTATTTCTCCGATATTTAAAGATTAAACGCTCTGAGATCATTCATAAATTTTATGGTGGTATTGTGGTGATTAGTATGTCTATTATTTGATGGTGTTATTTTACGCGAGTTGTTTGAATTATGAACAAAGGTTCAACTGTTAATGATTTTCAGCTGTTCAGAATGTTGGCGATTGTTTCGGCTTCGCATTTGATTGCATTTGAGGCGCATAGATTCATACAGATTCGTGGCTTGTCTGTTGCCAGAAGTAATTCTTAACAATGACGAATGTTCGGAATCATCATTTCACCCAATTCACACATATTCAGACCATTACATATTTCTCACAATAGTCTCAACACCCCATTACATGAATATATACCTTTTCTCTATAGCAGATAATAGAGGCCTGAATTCATTCAAGATAGCAATGCCCACATATACATATGTACGCGTATCAATTACAGTATATACTTCACTACCTCCTATAACCTATTATCATTTCCACATGTACTTTCAGTTACCTGGACCACAACAACATAGGAATACTTCCAATGGGCCTATTTGCTGAGATGTCGTATCTACATGAACTGTAAGTGTGCATTTCAATACTATAGTTCAAATTGCCTAGTATACGTTTGTGGGTTCCTTGTGCATGTAATATTCCGTACGATTACGACGCATACATTACAAACAAATGGAAATATTTCAGGATTTTGCGCTGTCTCAAATTAAACATTCTGCCGTTACCGTGGTTTGACAGTTAGATATTTTGTGGGCAATTTTAGCGATTATTGCACGACTGTCTACTGTATGACGTAATAACCCACAAAGTCTTATATTGCAATGAATAATCAATCTTGTCTATTACTCGCCACGTGGAGAATGATAATATTATTATATATGAATCTCCCGCTGGGGGCGCCTGCTATTACTCGAAACCGAAATCGTCGCTGTACAGTATTCATCAGCACAAAACACTGAATGAAAGAATAGTCATATTTAAAGTTATCCAACGCATGTAAACGAAATTCGAACACTACCGTGCCGAAGTAAGTCATTCATGTATATACATTGTTCTTCTGTTGCAGGCGCTTGAATAATAATGGTCTCCACGATGTTCCCAAGCATACAGCAGATGAATTATCGAAAACAATTGTCAAACTTGTGTAAGTTTATTTAAACTTTGCAACCCTATACATCCAATGAAATTGACCCGACCGTGGATGTCCATGGTGCGACACGTGTCAGCACAGGTTCATGATAAGGACACGGGTTCCTTCGTGAAGGGTTTGTGGTGGTCTACTCACTTAACCTTCTACAAATATTTTGGATGTGCACAAACGTATTATGTTAATTTATGCAAATAGACCATGTGATCCATTATTTTTACAGGACACTAGACCATAACCCATTGCACTGTAGCTGTGATTTGTTGCTGTTTTCTCATTGGTTGAAACAAAGTACAGACGTCATACTACTAAAACCAGACTCTGTTCGGTGTACGACGGACAACGAAATCGACAAGTACAAAGTCGTAGACCTCGTGGAGGATGATGTGATGTGTGGTAAGTTACATAGTAGTTCAATATTTTTGACTTACTGACGACTAAACTGAGAGAATTTCGCTTTAATGCATTGCAGGAGGGCTTTGTCGCCTGGGACGCGACTTGTTGAAAATGTGTATTCACTAAATAAAATTTGGATTTTTTTTCCAGCTCCATCATTAGCTCCAAAAATATTGGACATTGAAACAATATCCTGTGACAGTGTTCGAATAAGCTGGGACTATCCAATGTCTTACACTCGCAGCAAAGCGCAGACGAAGGCGTCGATCTCGTTCGATACAGTTATCAAAAAAGGTCCACTTTTCAATGTGATGGTGAAAGTGACAGATACACACGAAGCATCGCGTATGCCACACGTGTTTATGGAAAGCGACGAGACCGCTGTTATCAACGGATTAGACGCATCGATTGAACATCAGTTTACCGTACAAGCCATGAACGAGGTTGGACGAGGACCATTTAGTGATGTCAGAAAATACAGAATTTCAATTTTTAAATCAGGTTTGTTTGTTTTCTATTCAGGGGGAATATGTAACAGGAGACTGCCACTTCATCTGTAATGTAATTATAGGGCTAGTCTTTTACGCACGCAGACCCTCCCATCCATCCACTGTACACAATACAATAGAGTCTTGTCCTGTTTCGGGGACATTCATGGCACGCTAGATTTTGTAAATTTAGAAAGCTCGGTCAAGGTAATAACCATGAATAAGATTTCTACTAACATGTGCATATTAGAGACGTTTTAACAGTGTGGTGTGTCTATTATTTCATAGGGGAACAGGTGGTTTCTTGTCTTGAGGAACCCGAGGAAGAAACTGATGTAGATCAACCACCTCACAAAACACTGATAGATGAAACGATTCGGGAAGAAAAGGATAAGCGAATGATTATCATCACTGTATCCTGCCTTACTGGAGCAGTCGTCGTGGCTATTGTCCTTGCAGTATTCTTTGTGAAAGTGTATCAACCACGTAGGAATGGTTTCGCTCCATTTTCGTCAGTCAAATTCAGTAAATGTGAAATGCCGCCTATGACGTATGACGACGAGGTGACGTCATCGTCAGTCGAAAGTGTGGACAAGTATAGGAACTATACGACTACGATGACTGAAGGGCTACCCACCGTGCGAATTCTGACTGAGACTTCGAGAGACACTGTGCACTTCATTCGTGAGATATACTGCGGCAGGTTCGGACGAATCTACGAAGCGGTGGTCACCGAACTGCTTCCCACTGAAAAACAGACGGTAACCATGGTGAAAGAACTACGAGAAAATGCCACTGAGCATGCGCGACAATCGTTCGATGGACAAGTCTCGACGTTGTGTGAGTTTGAACATCCAAACGTACTGGAAATGCTCGGAGTTGTCACAATAGGTGAACCGCTGTCGATTATCTATGAATATGCCGACTGTGGCGACCTGAAAGAGTTTTTGAACTGCAACTCTCCTTTCAACAAAACGAAGAGCGCCACCAACTCATTGATCCTTTCTCAAGACAAACTTGTCGATGTGGCCACTCAAGTGGCCTGTGCCATGTCGTATCTGTCGGCCAGTGGGTTTGTCCACCGCGATTTAGCGGCTCATAATTGCATGGTGTCCAGTGACTTAACAGTGAAAGTTGCCGATATAGGAATTTCCAAAGAACGATATCCAATGCATTACATGAGGGTAAGTAAAAACAAAATCATTTTAGTTTGTTCACGTGGAGGCGCTGTGCATTTCATCGCGTGGCTGAAACGAATATGGAAATTACATAGTTAAATCTTAGTAATGTCTCAGTTTGTACTCGTTGGTCTTCGCAACAATCAAATTCGCCATCTTTGTTCATACGAGTACCATACCTCGCGCATGCGTAGCGCGACGACCACCGCCCTTCAACGATATTTTGATGTCACATAAGCGTCTCGTTACTAGAAAGTGCGACTTCCATAGTGATGCTTATTATGAATATACTAACTGATTATCTATTTTATATTGGTAGGTTGGTCGCAAACTATTACCTGTACGGTGGATGGCACCCGAAACACTGGAGAGTACTACGCACTTCAACGCAGAGACCGACGTCTGGTCATACGGTGTAACGCTCTGGGAAATATTTTCATACGGAACACTACCGTTCTCGTGCTTCACTGACGATCAAGCCGTCTCGCACACACTCAGGGGTACCCTACTTCCAATTTCTGACTGTCTACCAAAGAAGGTCCGTGACGTCATGATGGCTTGTTGGAGGAACAATGCACACGAGAGGGCGTCTTTTAATGATATCCACGGCAGCCTATCAAGCTGCCGACTGTCAGACTGTGAGGGCGAAATCCGTGTTTGACAAGAAGTACTGAAACCAGGCAGACAGTGAAGGATATGATCGTTGGACTGTTATAAACAAACGATTTATCAGCGCTTTTCATATATACCTCATTCGTAATAATAAGTGGATTTTTTTGCATGTTATCATAATTCGACGTAACATGTTCACAAAAGAAATATTTTTTCAGTTACATTTTTAAAGGGGTACCGCTCAAGCCCAGGGATTGCACCAAAGGATCATGGGACACTATTCTTCATGTTGTTTACAATGTTAATCTATATTTTGTTATCCATTGTTATTTTAATCCAGAAAGTAAATTTGTTGTGAGATTAGGCTTAACTGGAAGGTGCCCCTTTAAGTACGTCCGTATGTAGACAGACAGTGTCCGTATTTTTTTTGAGTAAAATATTATGAAACAAGTTTAATATGCTTTGTGTTGATATCCACATTATTTCCCGTGATTTTCACCGCTGTCATATACTGGTCATGAAGATTAGGTCAATGAAACTGCTTCCTGTGACAAGTTTACGCAATGACGCCGGTTTATCCAGGAACGATAAGTGTAGTGATCTGTTGAGAGGATAATTAAACGGTTCACACAATTTTGAATCTTTATCGTAAATGATGAGCCAAATTTTCGCATGAAACCAGACAATGACCTACACAATAAATGGAGTAGAATATTAAAACGTGGCATGGAAACACGTGTATTGCTATAATGAAATGAAAGTGTGGCGTGGAAGGAATCTGAAACTCATCTTCCTATCTATGATAAAGTCTTGGCATTTCTGAAGCTCTGGTTTTTAGTCACGAAATGAGCACACAACACAGTCGTCAAATTGTGCAATTATAGAACATTTGCAACTTCATGCGCAGTGCAATAAGAACTTGAAGCGCAGGGGTCGTCACCTGCGCACGCGCGAAATTTGAGTCCCAAGCGACGATAACAACACTCGTTTAAACCGCAAAGTTTTGTGGGTAAACGCTTGTTTGTAAACAACGACTCTGTGTCCATCTGATGCATGCGCAGGTGACGAAAAAAATATATTTATCCCCCTTTTAAGCAATATACGAGCACACAGCTTAGTTGGTAGCATCGCAACTAGAAAACGCTAGAACGCACAATCTTATGAAACAAAGAAAATACAAACCTGTGTGTATTTTATAACTAAGTGAAAACCAGGTTCAGTAACAATCGCGGAAATATTGTTTACGATTTTATAGACTATTGCAATTTCCCGTCACCAATCTGATATTTATGACTTCGCAAGATGGATGGCAAAGTCTCATTATTTGAAAATTTTGCTTCATGTTTAACAAATCCAAAATCACTGCGGTTAGAAGATTTTGAATGCGTGTTCACATTTGAAGTTGTGATAATTGTAATAAAATAACAACATTCACAAAAAAAACCCCATCTAAATCCGGAAACGGGTGTAGTCTGTATTACCATTGTATTATGTGTAAAAACGGGTCTCCATGAGGCCCACTACGAACTAGCTTCGAATGAGCTTACGTCATCGAAGAACAAGTGCAAGTTATACCGCATGTCCATGGTCACGATTATACAGAAATAGTATATTTAATTTGCCAGAGTTGTTACAAGTAACATGTGTATATGTTTTGTTACAAAGTTACAAATTGTATTATAATTCACAGGTCAACGCTGGCATAAGATCACAAGACAATGCTAGTTAAAAAAAAGGATTTATTGATTATGATCAGACACTTAGTCGCGCAAGGACGGTTTTTGACTGGGCTTGTAACAAAATACTCACAATATAATTTACGAATTTTGAACAATTAATTAGCATGATGATATAAATGAGTAAAATCATCTTACATTTAAATAATATATTTACTTACTAGACTATTACTGTAAATAATTGAGATTGAATTGAAACCCCAAACGCTCCCTCGTAATCAAGTTTATCATTATAAACAATTTACAAATTTGCCAGTTGAGCGGAGTTGTATCAATTCTACTGATATTCCATCTTGGTACAATTGTCATTATTCATAGTTTCGGATGTCACTTGGGCAACACCGAGAGCGATAAGAGGGATAGTGTGTGTATGTGTAAACGCCAACAATTGCGATTCCGGCGAGTACATCATCATGAAGTCACCAATGGTATATTTGGCAGTTCGGTTTCTACTGTATTGTACGAAGCCGTCGAGCCAGGTGAGCCTCGTTCCTGTAACAAGAATAACACCTTTTTAATAATCACAAGAACAACTCTATAGTTTATACATGTATAGAGGAGGGAGTTCCCAAGATACCCCAGACATATTCTCAGTCTGGTAAACCAAGGACACTAGAAAAGGTACCATAAGGAGAGGTGAAAAATGCACAGTAGCTTCAAATTATAGTTTGTTTGGACAGTTTTTTTCATCCGCGGAGATGTTAGGATATTTCTGTTTATTAAATTTGTGTGAACTTTACGCACCCTTGTCATGCGCACTGACCCCGAGCTGACAACGTCATTTCGCGTGTCTTTCACTTCTTCCGGTTCAATTTCCTCCACTGTCACTATTTGTGGCAACGATGTTTTTGTAACTCTCGTTGACATGGAATAAGCGCCTGTCTTGCTTGGTTCCTGTAATATATGCATGGCAGGTTGTACAAATAAACATAAACTCTGAATTATTAAGTTGATCGTCCCTTTAAAGACACAATATGGATGAGAACATTTTAATATTGTTTGATAATGTATATTGCCGGCTATAGAAGACTATGGTTTATCATGACCTGAACATGCTCTCATTGTAGCACATATCTGAATATTCATACAATAAAACGATGAAATTCTCTAATACGCATGTGCAATGGTTGTTTTAGGTACGTACAATAACAATCACTGCACATGCGCATTAATGGTTTTGATTTTTCATCTAACGAATGTTGTTGCGTGTCATGCAAAGGCAATATTATTCTTCAATTTATGATAAATCATCGTATGATTTGATCTATAGACTGGAGTATCGAACAACAATATTAACAATATATGTCGTCGTCCATGTTGCATCTTTAATATACAATGTACTTCAAAAAAAACCCCAGATATGCCACAAAACTCGTCAGCAATGGCATGAATAATCGAGGCTACAATTAAATGACAAAATCATATTGAAATTTGAAAGCAGGTTTGAGCTTTGACCACTTCAGTCACAGTAATGTGTCTTGTTTAAACACCGGAATGAACACCACTAATTGCATTTTAGATATCTGAAAATGGACCATATTCATTCAAACATCGTCACTATACTAGTAGTTATAATAACAAATCGTACCGTGGTTGACAAACCAACCGTCAACGATCCTCTTTCAGCCGCCCTTTTGTCAAGTTTACGCCGTAATACAGCTCGCACCTGTGGGAATGATAACAGATACAATATATTTTTGATGATGCAAATACAGAGTAAAGTGGATTATGACTTTTAATAACGATTCGTAGTGTTTACAGCAATTAAAGTCAGATAAATATAACTACAGTTCCTCAAGGTGTTGAAAGACTGTGATATAACGCACAATATAAATCATCCACTTTAGCCGTTGACCTGTATGAGTAAGTGATATATTGACAGATATCTGGGAAATAGAAACTGCGTCTTACCTCAGAATTGAACACGAAATGAAAAAGAACCACAAACAAACCCTGAAAAAAATAATAAAGATCAATACATTTCTGACGAAATTCGTCACGACCAACTGATTGGATCATGTGTAATATACAACCAGGTTATTGGCACATGCTTGATATACGACCATCTGATTGGTCCATGCCTACATATGTATATACCATATACTTTGCGCCACTTACCTGAAGGGAATTGAGAATAGCGAACAAATAGAGGAATACTAGAGTGTTGTTGTCCACGGCGAATAGTCCCAGTAACCAGGTAGAACCCAGTAATGGTAACAACATTAAAGCACTTTTTACGCCAGCCCTGAGAAAGAACCAGATGACGAGATGTTAGATTAACAATGAGAAGCGACCGAGTTGGCACAAATAACAGACGTGCAATTGAAATCTATTAATCTTTGTTTGAAATGTACATAACTATAAAAGTCTAATATATAAACGTATGTGCATACTTTGCATGGCCATAGTCTTTACTCTGCGTCATCTTGGCTGCAGTGATTACCACCTTAACAACCATTCCAAGGACAATAATATTCGCCTAGAAAACAAATAAGCACCTTGTCACACAACTTAAGCCTGGCTCGTTTAATTACAAGAATTATGCCCGACCTTGTGATTCGAACCAAACTTAGGCAATTATGAACTACATACCAATATAATAGTTATTGCGATCGCAGCAAATGCCCAAATAAGGCCATTCTCGGCTGACAACCAGCACCTGCAATGAAAAAAAAAAACGATTTTAGCGCGTATACTGATACTCAGGTTGTTCTTTGGTATCCAAACATCCCAGCCGTATGAGAAGGTAATTATTGGTTGGTGAATATAAACACAATGCAAGTCGAGCTACTAGTCTGGATTTTGCGTCAAAATATGCAGTAAACATCATTTAGTTCCGGGTCAGATGCACGACACTTCCTGCCTTGACCAAAAATAACCAATGTGTAATTCATGTGGTATTGACTGTCTGTGTAATGCTCGTCTACAAAATCCAGAGGAAAAATATTTACATACTTATTGTGCATGCGTTAAATTAGTGAAAACGTGCATAAATACTGCTAGACAGACAATTATTCAATGTTTTAGGCGGAAAGTATTGATTGACTGAATATCAGTTGTATGCTGGTTGGCAGCAATATACGAAAATAGTGAGGTAATTGTCGTAAAATAGTGATAGAATTCTCGTAAAAGTGAGGCATTTGTCGTAAAAGTTAAAATGCAAAATTCTCTGAGCAGAAGTGACGTGTTATTACAGAGTCATGCATTTTACCCTCAAGTTCACTGTCCATCAGGGTTGGACAATCGGGCGCGATAACTGGGAAGTTGAAGCACTACAGTCGCTGCGACGCAACGCGTGTGAACTATATGTCCGTTTACACGAATTCGAACGCGCCGCGCGACGACAGTGACGCTATAATGTGAAAAGCCAACAGGTGATTGGTTCTTACCATCCGACGTAGGGCTCAGCAAAACATACATTCTCCTGGTTCCCCCTGGGTTGAAAAATAATTAAATTCAAATAATAATTTGTCATGTAGTGAAAGTTTTTGAGTATGTGAAGAAAAGATTGTCGGCTTAAGAATGAGCAGTAATTATATTTTTATAATATATTTTATCGACATATTAACGTGTATTTATTCAATTGCACGTTACCTCCCATCACTCCCGTAATCGTTCCACCGGACCGCTAGACATATTCCAACTAGAATTGCTGGCAAACCTGTGAACAAAAACACTTTATTATATGTAATAGTACATTTATAAATGAGGCTTGTAGAC